AGGGGTTTAGCCTTTTTTTCAGGCCTCAGGCTCGAACATGCCCAGAACAAATGATTATATCTTCACTTCTAAAAGGGGTATATGGATAATCTTGTTATCAAAGCAATGATACACCTGTGAGTTGGCTGTAGAATTGTCAGAGTAAATTCAGATGGAACATAGTAAAACAAATGTAATTCTAATCTCCGCCTAAAAAGAACCCATTAATTATAGTGAAAACCACCCTTGAATGATGGGATAGTAGCCCAGAAACCTTTAGGGATCAAAACCACAATATATCATAATTACCCTGTGTCAGGATAGATGCTAATTTAGTGAAATATCACTATAGGTATTCATTCCATCCAAATACAACTGTTTTTGACCTTTTTGGAAAGTTCAGCCTAACATCTATCCCCTTTTTGGCCACATGCGTAATGGTGCACCAGCTGCCAGTCAGACCTATGAATTACCCCGGTGCCGTAATGCGCCGGGGAATTTGAAGTGTACAGATTGTCCATCTTGTGACACTTATGCATTGCTACATACATTGAGGATGTTAACATACTTGCCCTGAAGCAATCTCTTTTATATTTACAACACTTATTCACGAGTGGGATGGGATGTCGGGCACATAATTGCAGCTTCCTAGGCGTGAGCACGGAGGAATTGTGACCATGTACATTTCAAATACACTGTGTTTGAAATGTACAAGGTCACATCTCCCCGATGCCCAGGGCTACATGCATGTGACGATGGATTATTTACCCGGCCTGCTTCATCTCTCGCAACAGCGATTTTCATGCCAATCCGAGCAATGCTTTAGCATTTATTTGAAAGATCATGTTTGTTTGAAAAGAGCGGGAAAACTGTGAAATTGTCCAAATGTCTCAATTTTGACACCTCTGAATCCGAGGCTTGGAGGCATGACACGGTTCAAGTGTGAGCCTCCAGTCCCAGTGCATTGTGGAGATATGACCTTGTACATTTGAAGTGTACAGTACACTACAAATACATGACAGCAGGATCTCAGGTCTGCGATGTGGACAGTACACCTCAAATACATCACTACACGACCTGTGGTATTTAAAATGTACAAGGTCATATTTCAAAGATGGCAAGGGCTACATGCATGTCGCTTTTAATTAGTCATCTGTGGGGCCACTGTTCTCAGTAAACCAACTCTCATGCAAATCGGAGCAACTTTATCTTTGACCTGTTTTTCAGGTACATCATACCCCAACATCAGCTTCAACATAAACTAGAGAAAAAATGCAATGCTTTTTTAGGGACCACATTTTGACTTTCATCAGAATTTGACTTTTATTTCCCATAATTTGAGTTTTTAGTCAGAATTTAACTTTTAGTCAGATTTAGATTTTTTTCACATAATTTGACTGTTCTCAGAATTGTATTTTTTCTCACATTTACTTTTTCTCGCATAACTTTACTTTTAAATTCTGTGTGTGTGTGTGTGTGTGTGTGTGTGTGTGTGTGTGTGTGTGTGTGTGTGTTTTTGTATGTATATGTCTGTTTGAGTGTGTGTGTGTGTCATGGTCTGGCTCTTGGCCATAATAAAAAGTGTGGAAAGGACAAGAAATATATAAGAAAATATATTTATTAACCAGAACTCAACGGGAACCAAAACTAACATAAACGCAAGGCAAAAGTATAAACGAGAGTGGCCGCTCCCAAAACAGGTCCTCCGCGGAGAGAGAGCTTGAGACTCTGGCTCAGGCCTTTAAATCCTCCGGTGCCAGCAGTCAGGTGTCCTCAATCAGCGCTGACACAAACAGAGGGAGAACATTAAAGGGCCATACACACACCACAGGAGACAGTAAAGCAGGGGTCGTCACAGTGTGTGTGTGTGTGTGGTGTGTGTTGTATGTGTGTGTGTATGTGTATGTGTATGTGTGTGTTTATGTGTGTATGTTATCTTTCGTTATTTATTCAGATATTTCATATATGTGTGTTAGAGTGCTGGTTTATGTGGTCTAAGCAGACATGTGCTATGAATAAACACAAACACTACGAGGACACTTTGTATTAGCAGAACAGGGTCAGTGTGCTGCAGAGTGGAAGTGTTTCTGGAGAGCTCAAACAATCCAACTATTTTACAAAAACAGAACTTGTGTTAAATCTGTGTTTCAACACAGCACCCCTGCAGTTGTTCTGGGGTACTGCACTAGCTCACGAATATTAACACTGTAATTCAGGTTTTTATAAAAAAATGCAGTTTTTTTGCTGTGACACACACTAACATCGCACACACACACACACACACACACACACACACACACACGGACGCACCTATACATGCACACACACAAACACACACTCAAACACACTCACACACAAACACACAAAAACACAGCAACATTTTTTTAACATATTCTTTGTAAAAACCTGAATTATCGGGACAATCTGACTTCCAATCTAAAAGCTCGGGTTTCGAACCGGCTTACAAGGCAGCGGCCACTGCATATCAAATCATCAACATTATTTGTATAGCCCAATATCACAAAACAGGTTTGTATCAGTGGGCTTTAGGGATTAAAAACAAACAACATAACTGTAAACAATAATATTACAGCAAAATGGAAAGACAATATTGTGTAAAACACAAATAGAAATAAAACTAAAGAAAATAAGACACAAAAAAAAAAAAAAAAAAAAACAATAAAATAAAGTACCATAAAATGAAATAAATACCATTTAATGCCAGCTCTAACTTAAGACTTTGGTAAAAAGGGAGGTCTTCAATGCACTCTTAAAAGTTTGGAAACTCTGATAAAAGTGTGTTCCAGTGAAAGGTCGGCACATGCTCTGACCTATTGGCCAGCTCCAACCACTGAGCTATCCGGACGCATGAACAAATGTTTTAAGTGTGATAATTTTGCACTGTGAAGAAACATATTTCCTGAATGAACTGGTGCTTGAATTTTTACTCAGAATTTGACTTTTATCTCATATTTTGTTTTTTATCGCAGAATTTGACTTTAAACTCAGATTTAGATTTTCTTCTCCGATTTCTTATTTGTTTTCTCAGAATTTGACTTTTTTCCTCTGAATTTTCCACAAAAACCTGCTTCAAAGACACGAGTAGAATCCAAGAAAAGTCTCACCATGTGGCTCCTCTTGTTGTCCTGCCTCGTCACCCTCCGATCCTCTCTTCTTCTGTCTTTATTCAGCACCTTTTCCACCTCTTCTCTGATCTCCTGCATCTCCTTCTCCCTCCTCTCTCTCCCATCCTCCACCCTCTAAAATAATAATAAAAGGCCATGTCACAATTAACAAGGAAAACATAATTGTCATATTATCCCGAAAATCATCAAAATTAAATGTTTTAAATGCCACAAAACATATTTAATAAACTACAAAAAGATAACGTGTTTTTTGTATGTAAAGCAAAATACTTAATCATCAACGCAGAGTCAGTTGGGTTCAGATCAGTGATTTTATTTCTACTTTCAGAATATTTATAATATTTATTTCACTGTTGTTGTGTTTCCTGCTGTTGGAGTCGGCAGGCCTGTATTAATTATTCTGGCAATTAATCAGACTTACTAATTGACCTAACAGAAGCTATTGAGTCTATGTAAGTTTACTGCCAGGCTCGGATCCACCTTGATCAGCAAGGTCTCACCTCTACTAACTTCTGAAGAACCAGGTTCAATTAACTGCTGTTTCAATTCAGGCGACGCACTAAATCCGTCTAAGCGATCCCATAGGATTCTGGTATCTGTAATGAGGTGTGGCCCTGCCTAAGTGTGAGTGTGGCAGTTGTGCAATCTTACCTTAAAGCAGGGGACGCAGATTATTTTAAATTATCCCAGTCCAAAAGGGTGGGATGATTTTATTTGAAGAAAATGGTCCACACTTTTACAGGGTTTTTACCTTCTCTCGTTACAATGTGACAATCATACACAAATATTTCATGCTGTGGTAAATTACTAATCAAAAACCTCAATTCACAGTTTTACATTTCTTAGTTTCTTTGGTAAATCTTTCTTCAACTGTCACTCTTCAGTTGCATTAAAAACCTCTTCCGCTGGAATTCAGAGGACAACCCTCATAGACTACCAGGTGTGAAATCAAATACATTAAAATCTCTTCAACTGTCCCACTTCAGTTGTGATATTAAATTCAACAGCCCTCTTCCGTTGGTAATATTCAAATCTCTTTAGGAGTACTTACCAAGTTGAGAGAATTTACAAAATATCCAAACTTGTCTCCTATGGTATGGCCTACACACATTTTGGGGCTCCAGTACTTTTCCGTTGAGACAGGGGTCTCCTCTCTACAGCCTGCTGTGAGTGAAGACAACTGTCTCCCCTCTGCTAAACAGTGACACCCATAGTGATAAACTATAGGAGGCTTTAAACTACATTTTCCAAAGCACTGACATTTTGGATATATTGTGAGTATAGAACAACATGAAATATAATACATTTTCATTGTGGGTCATACAAGATTATATTTGATTATATGAACTTTCGTTTTAATTATTTAACTCTATATTGAAACCTCAACAAAGCCACATTTGGAGAAAACAATGAAATTCTTAAAAAAAAATCGTAACATTTCGAGGAAAGATTTGGAGGAAAAAGTCAATATTTGGAGGAAAAAGTCAATATTTGGAGGAAAAAGTCCAAATGTGAGAATAAAGTAAAAATCTGTGAGAAATAAGGCAAATTTGGAGAAAAAAATCTAATTCTCAAAAAAAGTTACATTTTGAAATGGCAATGAGGAATTTTGAGGAAAGAGTCAACATTTGAGAGAATAAGTCAAAAGTCACAATGTGGAAAATAAGTTAAAAATGTTGAGGAAAAGGTCAAAATTTGGAGAAAAAGTCAAATTGTGAGAATAAAGTAAAAAACTCTTAGAAATAAGTCACATTTTGAGAAATAAGGCATATTTGGAGAAAAAAATCTAATTCTAAAAAGAAAGTTACCTTTTGAGGAAAAAGTCAAAATTTAGAGGAAACGTCAAATTGTGAGAAAAATGTCAAAGGTGGTTACCTGAACAGGTAAGAGTCAGGAAGTTGGAAGTGTAACTTGATACTGCACACTCCCTCAGAGCAGATACAGACTGGGCACAGTCAGACAGGATCCCCCACACAGGTCTGAATGAGGACTTTCTCTCTCCTACAGAAACAGCAGAGCCACAGTCCAGCTCTCTGCAGGCAACACCTGCAGCCTCCAGAGTCCAGAGAGGGACCCACACTGGTCTCCATTCCCCGTGATGTTTCAGCTCCAGAGCTCCTGAACAGCGACTCTCTCCTCCCACCAGTCTGACCGGCTCTGAAGAGAAACAAGAGAGTCATCAGAGAAAGAATAAAGTGAGTTTGATGAAATGAACCAATTACAGCTGTTGGGGAAATATTTTCCTAGGCCCATAACTTTGACCCGGTTGTGCTGGATGTGTTGGGGGCATGTATTCTGCCTGGGGCCCCCAGAGTTTCTTGCAGCGCCAATGACTTATGTGCATATGATAAAAACCTTTGCATCTTTTACCTGAGCAGGTGAGGCCAACAGCTCTGCCAGGTGAGCAGGTGTTTCTCTCTGAGGCTGAGCTACAGTCCAGGAGAGCAGACTCATGGCCTCCACACTGGAACTCTTTGGTCCACATTGGAGCCTCCCCTTCTCCATAGAGCATCCCCTGGAGGACTGAAGGAGCCCCACAGCCAAGCTGCCTGCAGACCACCTGAGCATCCTGCTGGTCAAAGTCAGCCTCACACACTGAGGACCAGGATGGGTCAGACTGGTTAGACTTCACCTCCAGTCTACCTGAACACTGACTGGTCCCATTCAGCAGCATGACAGAGTCTGGAGAGGACAGAAGATAAAACTGAGGTAAAGAAACAGTTACTTTTTAAATTGTTATTGTATTTTATCCTTTATCTTTTATTTCCATTTTCTTATTTGTTATTTGTTATTTATTTAAAAATCAAAATTTGAGAACAAAATCCAATTCTAAAAAAAAAGTTAAATTTGGAGGAAAAAGTCCAAATGTGAGAATAAAGTCAAAAACTCTGAGAAATAAGTCAAATTTGGAGAAAGAAATCTAATTCTCAAAAAAAGTTACATTTTGAAATGGCAATGAGGAATTTTGAGGAAAGAGTCAACATTTGAGAGAATAAGTCAAACACTCTGAGAAAAAAGTAAAATGTCGAGAAAAAAGTCAACTTTGGAGAAAATAATAATTTGGAGAAAACTTTTTTTTATTCTGAGGAAATATTCAAATTTCGAGGAAAAGTCACAATGTGGAAAATAAGTTAAAAATGTTGAGGAAAAAGTCAAAATTTGGAGGAAAAAGTCAAATTGTGAGAATAAAGTAAAAAAAACTGTTAGAAATAAGTCACATTTTGAGAAATAAGGCATATTTGGAGAAAACAATCTAATTCTAAAAAGAAAGTTACCTTTTGAGGAAAAAGTCAAAATTTAGAGGAAACATCAAATTGTGAGAAAAATGTCAAAGGTGGTTACCTGAACAGGTAAGAGTCAGGAAGTTGGAAGAGTAGAGTAACTTGATACTGCACACTCCCTTAGAGCAGATACAGACTGGGCACAGTCAGACAGGATCCCCCACACAGGTCTGAATGAGGACTTTCTATCTCCTACAGAAACAGCAGAGCCACAGTCCAGCTCTCTGCAGGCAACACCTGCTGCCTGCAGAGTCCAGAGAGGGACCCACACTGGTCTCCATTCCCCGTGATATTTCAGCTCCAGAGCTCCTGAACAGCGACTCTCTCCTCCCACCAGTCTGACCAGCTCTGAAGAGAAACAAGAGAGTCATCAGAGAAAGAATAAAGTGAGTTTGATGAAATGAACCAATTACAGCTGTTGGGGAAATATTTTCCTAGGCCCATAACTTTGACCCGGTTGTGCTGGATGTGTTTGGGGGCATGTATTCTGCCTGGGGCCCCCAGAGTTTCTTGCAGCGCAAATGACTTATGTGCATATGATAATAAAACCTTTGCATCTTGTACCTGAGCAGGTGAGGCCAACAGCTCTGCCAGGTGAGCAGGTGTTTCTCTCTGAGGCTGAGCTACAGTCCAGGAGAGCAGACTCATTGCCTCCACACTGGAACTCTTTGGTCCACATTGGAGCCTCCCCTTCTCCATAGAGCACCCCCTGGAGGACTGAAGGAGCCCCACAGCCAAGCTGCCTGCAGACCACCTGAGCATCCTGCTGGTCAAAGTCAGCCTCACACACTGAGGACCAGGATGGGTCAGACTGGTTAGACTTCACCTCCAGTCTACCTGAACACTGACTGGTCCCATTCAGCAGCCTGACAGAGTCTGGAGAGGACAGTAGATAAAACTGAGGTAAAGAAACAGTTACTTTTTTTATTTGTATTGTATGTTATTTTTTATCTTTTATTCTTTGTTATTTATTGAAAAAATCCAAATTTGAGAAAAAAGTCAAAGCAGCTTACCTGAACAGGTAAGAGTCAGGAAGTTGGAAGAGTAACTTGATACTGCACCCTCCCTCAGAGCAGATCCAGACTGAGCATAGTCAGACAGGATCCCCCACACAGGTCTGAATGAGGATATTCTATCTCCTACAGAAACAGCAGAACCACAGTTTAGCTCTCTGCAGGCAACAGCTGCTGCCTTCAGGGTCCAGGGATAGTCCCACACTGGTCTCCATTCTCCTCGATGTTTCACGCTTAGAGTTCCTGCACAGCGACTCTCTCCTCCCACCAGTCTGACCTCATCAGGCTCTGAAGAGAAATAAGAGAGTGATCAGAGAGAGAATAAAGTGAATTTGATTAAATGAACCAATCACAGCTGCAGCTCCTCTATTTTATATTCCATTTACATGTATATCATATTCAAATGCAAAGGTTTTATTGTAATATGCACATGAGCTACAGGTTAGAAATGACAATTAGCGTGTTCACACCGGAGTACTTTTCCCACAATAGTTCATCAGAACTACGATATATTTGCGTTCACACCAAAAAGCCCCAGGAACTAAAGTAGTTCAAATTAGTTCATCTGACCCGCTTTTCAGTCCCTGCTCGAGAGCAGCCATTGTATTTGCTCGCTTCGGGCAGCACACCCGAAGAGATTACTTTTGTGAAAGCAGTTATTATAGCAACACTAAATAAATCATCGGAGCGGTGGAGTGAGGAGGATGTGTCAGCGCTTCTGGCGATTTACTCGGAGGACGCGATCCAGAAGCTTCTACTGAAGGCAATGTTCGTGGCTCAGTAAAGTTAGCAGACCTGGAAAACCGTCCACAGCACAGTCATGCCTGGAAGGTAAAATATACTACATGCAATGTGTAGCTCCCTCCAGTCAATGACACGAGGCTGAGGTCTTGTTTAAAAATACGGGGTTTATTTCTTGGGACCTATTCCAACCCGTGAGAACTGGGTTGCAAGACAGAAAAATACAAAAGGTAAACAACAACAAACATGTAATATACGCATATGTCATTACTGTTAATGCCGCCAACCAAGCAATAAACGGCACACATATCCCACACAGCAAGCAGCACAAGCTAACAACAGCATGTAGCACAAGCTAGCGCATAGCATACATACACACAAAACCTGCAGCTCAACCGCACACAACTACACAAACAACGAGCACGTAAACGTACCTCGTAGGCTGCTGGTCACCTAGAGGGGCTGATAACTTTATCTGCATTTTCCTTGGTTTTCTTAGTTTCCGTTTAAACGTCCTGCGTTGCTCTGCAGTTGCGACCGTCAAGTGCGTCGATTAAATAGGTGTAACACCAAAACACAGCAGATTAGTTCCGCCCTAATTAATGTTGCACATAAAAGGTAGGAACCAAAAGTACAACGTGGAACAAAATAAACAACAGAGTGCAGACAGTTACACTCCCACCAAATCACCTGTGATTTCCATAAACATTTTTAGAAACCCAAACTCTTTATAACATTAATGTAAACAAACAATTTTGTTTTAGACCTATTAAGTGCAGAGTGTGAGTGAAAGTAACTGTACAGCGTCTTAGTCTGCTTCCAACAACAACACCGTCTTGTGAATAGGCCTTTCGAGGTAGACAGGTTTAGCGAGGCGCTTTCCCTTTCCATCCAGGGTAGAGTCGCTGATAAGCAGCTTGAGCCTTCTCACTCTTCCATCCCTTCCGGGTACACTTCCACAACCCTGGCCAGCTTCCATTGGCCACGTGGTAAAGTATTGTCTTGCAGAATGACAACGTCATTTACCTTGGCATTTCTGCGGTCCTTGATCCACTTTTGTCTTTGTTGGAGATTAAGGAGGTACTCCTTCTTCCACCGAGCCCAGAAGTTATTAGACAGGAGTTGAACTCGACGCCATCGTTTGCGAAGGTAAAGATCTTCCCTTTCAAACCTTCCAGGAGGTGGCAGGATGACTGAGGACTTCATGGTCAAGATGTGGTTTGGTGTCAAGGGTTCTGGACTGGATGAATCATTCAGATGATCTGTGGTCAGAGGTCTACTGTTCACAACCGCCATGACTTCGTACAGAAATGTTCTTAAGGAAGAACAGTCAAGCTGTTTAGCTGAATGCTCTAGAATGGACGTCAAGACACTTCTGATGGTGCGAATTTGTCTCTCCCAAACACCACCCATATGACTTGAAGCTGGGGTATTCATGAGGAACTCACATCCCAGTTCTTTCAGTTCCCGTTGATCCATCTCCTTCAATGCTTCACCAAGCTCCCGTCTAGCACCAACAAAGTTTGTCCCTTGATCACATCTTATCTGGCGCACTGATCCACGAATGGCAATGAATGAACGCAGAGCATTGATGAAAGCATCTGTGGTTAAGTCATCAAGCATTTCGATGTGAATTGCTCTGGAGCACATGCAAGTAAATAAGAGCCCATAGCGTTTAAGCTCTTTTCTTCCTTCCTTGACATAGAATGGCCCGAAACAGTCCATACCGCAGTAAGTAATGGAGAGGTTGCTTCCGTTCGCTCTTCAGGGAGGTCTGCCATTTTTTGTTGTTCAGTGCCTCTCCTGAACTTCCTGCACTTGGTGCACTTGTACATATGGGATGAAACTGCCTTACTACATCCTAGAATCCATATGCCATTTGATCGGAGCTCATTCATGGTCATTCCTCTTCCTTGATGGTGCACTCTCTCGTGATAATGCTTAACAAGTAGTGTTGACAAGTGACTGTCCTTTGGGAGAATCGCTGGATGCTTCACATGGGGATGTAGAGCGGCATGAGTTAAGCGACCTCCAACTCGGAGGATACCTTGGTCATCCAGAAATGGACTCAACTTGTTCAACTTGTCTTTGGTTTGTATCTCCTTATGATGCTGAAGGCCTTTTATCTCTTGAGAGAGTGTTGCTTCTTGAACCATCCTGATTATGGTCAGCTCTGCATCTCTCCTCTCCTCTAAGCTTGTGGCTTTGCAGGACCTTGGCTTGAGACCTTTAATTTCCTTTGCAAAGCGCTTGAGTCTGGCAAAGGCTTTAACAACTCTTGACCAGTCTGAGAACTTGTGAAAGTGATCCAGTAGCGACTTTACTTCGTTTGCCTGGGTATCATGAACCTGGGCCTTCTTAAGCTCCGGGTCACTACTCACGATCTCTCCCACCTTGACTTCTCCACTTGGGAGCTCTTTCTGCCAAAGGAAGTCTGGGCCTGTGAACCAATTTGAGACTAGAAGTTGCTGTGCTGTGAGACCTCTGGAGGCATGATCTGCAGGGTTATCTTCAGAAGCCACATACCTCCATTGTGCAGACTCTGTGCTTTGCTTGATGCGTTCCACATGGTTTGCAACAAACACATGAAATCTTCTGGCTTCATTGTTGATGTATCCAAGGACAACCTTTGAATCAGTCCTGAATAATTCTTGTTGGCATTCCACATCAAGTTCTTTCTTGAGTACATCACTGATGCGGACAGCTACCACTGCTGCTGACAACTCGAGTCTTGGTATGGTTGTGACCTTAGTTGGGGCAACTCTTGCCTTTCCCATGACTAAGGAGCAGTGAATTGCCCCTGATGCACTTACAGCTCGGAGGTACGAACACTCTCCATAGCCGGACACGCTGGCATCTGAGAAATGGTGGAGCTCGTAGTGTTGGACCTTGAAACTTGATAGAGCGTAGCACCGCTGGATTTTCACACTAGCAAGGTTTTTCAGGTCTTGGAGCCAAAATTCCCACAATGGTCGTAGCTCATCGGGTAAGTAGTCATCCCAATTAAGCTTGTCTCGACACATCTGCTGTAGGATCTGCTTTCCCACGAGGATGAAGGGTGCCACAAATCCGAGTGGATCATACACTGAAGCAACCGTGGACAGGACTCCTCTCCGGGTAAGTGGATTTTCTTTGATGACCACTCTGAACTGAAACTCATCTGAAGCCACACACCACTGTACACCAAGCGCTCTTTCGATGTGTAGCTCACCAAGCGCCATGTCCAGGCTTTTTGCAGATCCAGCACATTCTCCCTTTGGAATTGAGGCTAGGACTTCCTTGCTGTTGGAGATGAACTTGTGCAGCCGGAGGTTGCCTGTGCTGCAGAGCTCTCTAGCTTCTTTCACTAGCTTTATTGCTTGGGTTTCGGTGGTTACGCTTGTCAAGCCATCATCAACATAAAAGTTTCTCTGGATGAACTTTATGGTGTCTTCACTGAAGCATCCATGTCCTTCAGCTGCGAGGTGCTTAAGTCCATAGTTGGCGCAGCCAGGTGATGAAGCTGCCCCGAACAAGTGAACTGTCATCCGATAGATGGAAGGCTGGACTTCAAGATTTCCATCCTCCCACCACAGGAACCTTAGGTAATCTTGGTCTTCTGCCTTTACATGGAACTGATGGAACATACGTTCGATGTCGCACATGATAGCCACTGGACCTCTTCGGAAACGACATAAAACGCCCACCAAGGTGTTTGTCAACTCTGGCCCAGTCAGGAGATGATCGTTCAAGGATGTATCTTGAAACTTTGCGGAGCAATCAAAGACGACACGTATCTTTCCAGGTTTTGTGGATGATAGACCCCGTGGTGTGGGATGTACCATGCTGGAGTTTTACTGATCTCTTCATCTTGTGGTGGCTCTACTCTTCAGCCACCTCCCTTGTGAGTGTGTGTCCCTTTCCATGTCTGTGTGGGCGTGGTGGCTGTCACTCCTGGCTCCCGGCTCAATCTCCACCTGCTGCAAATCTCCACCTGCTGCAATCAGCTTACACACACCTGATTCCCATTCAGCCATTTACTAATGGTATATCAGCGGAGGCTCCACAACATGTCAGCGCCAGATCGTTGTTTAAACCCCAGTGGTAACTCTCAGCCTTCTTAGCCGATTTAAGCTATTTTCTCTGTACATGGAATACGTTTCTTGTTTTCCTTATGCTCCAGGATCACTCTCCAGCCGCCTAGTTACCATCACCTGCAGCCACCAGTCATCATTCCAACCGGATTACTCTCCACGCTCCTCCACCTCACAATAAACCTTTTCCAACACTCTGTGTCCTGCGTTTGGTCCTATCGGATATCGTAACACATTGGGACCCTTTCTGCAACTCCTCTTGTTATGGTCTCTTCCATGAAGGTCTTGTAGTCCTTGTAATACTGCTCGTTTCTTTTCAGTTTCCTTTCTAGACACCTGAGACGATGGATGGCACACAACTTGTT